TACAGGGAAATGGCCACACAGAGAAATGCGAAGAGTGCTGCTGGGGGGATAGGATAGGATACAAGGGGCTTTAAGAGGCAGCAAAGAACTCCACCCAGAGCATCTGGGAAGGGGTGGTGGGAGGGGTGGCAGGTGAGCTTCCGTCAGCTGGGAGAGCAGGAAGGAGGGGACAGTGGAATGGAGGTGGAACAGAGGACAACGTGAGACAGGCAGCACATGCCCACAGGCTCAGAAGTGTGGAAAAGGCTCCAAGCCCTCTTCCAAACCCTGACCCTGGACCCAGAGTTGGGGCCTGAGCCTGGGACTGGGTATCATTTAATTGCAAATGGCAATTTATAGAGCTGGAGAGGGCAATTAAAAAACAAAAGCAAGAAACAGAATTCAGAGCCGGAAAGACTCATTTGCTGATCCTAAGGGGCTAAGGAGAGAGGGAGATCCTTCCAGAAATTAGACAACTGAACGGACACCTGGGAAAGGAGAAAAACAGAGAGCCCCAAGAGGAGACAAGACAGGGACCCAAGAGAAAATTTCTGAGTGAGACAGAAACTTATCTAGGGCCTTGGACTGGGGCAGGGAGGGATCCTCTAAAGCCTTTCACTGTCTGGAAGCAAATGCAAGGGTTTGGGATTGAGAGCGAGCAGCCTTGTTATCATCAGAGTGGAGGATACTTGGGTCATGGAATGGTCAGTGATGCAGCAGCTGCAGAGGGCAGAGATGTAGCAGGCTGGAAAGGGCTCCCAAAGATGCCCAGGGCCTGATCCCCGGAACCTGTGACTGTCACCTGTGAATGGCAAGAGGGACTTTGCTGATACGCTTAAATTAAGACTCTTGAGATAGGGAGATTATCCTGGATTATCTGCACGGGCCCAATGTAATCCAAAGGGTCCTTACAAGAAAGAAGAAGCAGGGGGCGCCTGGGTGGCTCAGTCGGTTGAGCGCCAATGATCTCACGGTTTGTGGGTTCGAGCCCTGTGTCGGGCTCTGTGCTGACAGCTCAGAGCCTGGAGCCTGCTTCATATTCTAGTCTCTCTCTCTCTCTCTCTCTGCCCCTCTCCTGCTTGTGCTCTGTCTCTCTCTTTCTCAAAAATAAAAAATAAACATAAAAAAATTAAAAAAAAAAAGAAAGAAGAAGCAGGTAGGAGTCCTGGCAGACAGCCAGGTGACTCAGAGATTGGAGTGACACATCTTAAAGATGGAGACGGCCAGAAACCAGGGAATACAGTGGTCTTGAGAAGCTGGAAGGGGCAAGGAAGGAATTCTCCCCTGGAGCCTCCGGAAGGAGCCACCTTATTGATACCTTTAGTTTGGCCACCTATTGATACCTGTGTTTGAACCTCTGGCCCCCAGAATAGTCAGGGAATAAATTTATGTTGTTTTAAGCCACTTAGTTTGTGATTTGTTATCGCAGCCCAAGGGAACTAATACCAGGAGTGAGGTCATGCTCACGTTGAGAAGGCAGCCAGGGGTGAGTGAACAGCTTCAAGCTGAAGAGTCTCATGATTAAGTGGCATTTTAAGAAGATAACAGTATGATGCTGAGTGGACTAGAGTGGAAGGAAACTGAAGAAAAGGAGACACGTGAGGACGCAATTTCAGTTTTTCTTATGAGAGCTGATACCATAAGCTCATACGGCTTCGAGACATGGACAGGAGAACCTACACCTGTTGAAGAAGTATTTGGGTGGTAAGAAGAACAGAACTTTGTAAATGAGTGAGTGTGGAGGACGGAGGAGAGCATCTGGACGTACTCCCCACTTTGCATTTTGACCCATCGTTGCAGTGCACAAATCTACTAGTGGGTACAGAGGAAAGAGATGGTGACCGCTGAGGTCCCTAGAGCATATATCCAGGTAGAAATGCTCAACACTCAAGGGCAAGGTTTCAAAATCTCAGAGATGTAGGCTAAGGTAGACACAGAAGAGAATCACCCAGCAACGGGGAAGAAGAGATGAACATTAAAGATGAAATTCTGGAAAACAAGCAAGATGTAAATAATTTCTTCAGAGGAGGAAGGGGAGAAAGGCTGAGAAACAAAGGCCAAAGATTTATGAAGAGAATCTAGAGGGAACAGAATCAGGGACTTGAACGGAAGAGAGCATTTTCAAGATGACAGACCTGGTCAAGAGGGACAAATTCTTCAGTTGACATAGATAAAACGGTCACAGAATGGAAAAGTAAACCTCTGACTGAGAAGCCCTTGATTTCCTTCTCCACTATTTCTGTAGGGTGACAGGGATTGAAAGCAAATAATAATAATCTGAAGAGTCAAAAAAGAAGCTGAGGAAGAAGAGAAGGGATATATAAACTACTCCCTCAACATCTGGTAGTCCTTATTTGCTCTGTAAAAAAAAAAATTAGGATACGCTAATCCTGAACAATAAGTGGGAGTTTATTTTTCACAGGTTTCGGTCAGACTTATTGAAAGACAGATACTCCTCAATATTGGTGTGGCCACACCATGCAGCGGTAGTGTGACAAATAGGTGCGTGATGAATGAAAGGCTGGCTTCTGAGGATCTGGCCAAAAATATCCATCTGTGAGTTTCCGTCAGCCAGGCAGAACTGGAGCACTTTGCATGTCTATAATAAAACCCACTTGGAAAGCTGCCGCATAAGAAGGGCTTTTCCTACCATTCCCACAGCCGCAGCCACCGCCATCACCACCCGCTGTCACCATAACTGCCTCCATCACCACTAACAACAACCACAGTAAACAACTGTTGGAGACTTACCATGTGCCCGGCTCTGTGACAGACCCTGGGGATTTAAAGTTGAATAAGGCATGACACCTACCTTTGAGAAACTGTGCAGTGATTTGTACAGAGAAGAGGGAAGTCTTTATTCTAATGTCTGACCTGAGAAAGCTGTTCACATAAAGAGGGACATGTAAGGATCCATACACTCTCGGAGCTGGGAGGAACCACAGAGGGCATTACAGGGGAGGTCCGGGCCGTTAACTGACGAAGCAAAAGTCACCTGACGAATTCTAGAGACCCAACCCTTAAGTCCTATGCATTTTCCATTTCGTTTCACTCCTAATAAATCTCCTTTCCTATTCAATCTGTGAGTAATTTTAGGCATCTGATCACAGGCGCAAAAGTGAGCAATAGAGAATCCCTTTCCACTAGAAGGTTTTGAAAGTTAGAGCGGACAAGAACATATAATCAAGGGACTCGAGTCCAAGAAGATGGCACTTTTATGTCATGGTAGGTCCAGCCCTCTCAGAACACTCGTCACCCCTAGCGTATAAATCCCATCCTGGAGCAACCCTCTCAGAGTGCAGAAAAGTGGAAGAAAATCTTCCTTCGTTTTACGTATTTGTAAGTCTTCATCAGGAGCATCCTTCTTTTGGAAGAAAAGGAAATTAGTGCCTACGGAGGAGAAAAATATTTAAGAGTAGTAAGCAGACCAAACAATAAAAGAGATAAACTCTATGACGCAGAGGTAAGACTTGGGAGGGGGGTGGTACCCATGGATAACTGAGAGATATCAAAGTAGACATACAAAAATGTTTGAATATCTTCTGAGATCAGTAACAGGCAAGGTATTGTATACATAATACTTATGAGAACTAGAGTCACCAGTTGGACTGTGACAAAATGAACTTGAGAATGGCTTGAGATCAAGATGGGAAGGCGTAGTGCCAAGGTCATGGATACACCTCCCTCCTGGGCTCAGGGTTTAACTTCAAGGACATTGCAGTGTTCAGGATAGAAGCAAAGAACAGAACCAGGAATACAGGGGAAGGTCAGGCTCATTTCCCTGTAGTCACAGAACCTGGCCATCCCTGAACCACTGGCAAACAGAAGCAGGGGAGGAATTAGCCTTTTGGTTCAATCATTAGGCTCTGGCATAGAAATGTAAGAAAGCTTTGCCAGCTGGAACTGGTCTTATCTACATTTGCTTACATGACACTCCTTTCTTGGCAAATTGGAATAGAACAGTATTAGGAGACTGAAGTTTGAAAGGATACTAGAAGCCTGTGATTATGTCCTTGGGTTTAGAGGAATCAGGGCTTGGAGGGAAATGCCTGCAACAACTGGGAGCCCAGACACAAGCCTCTTACTGCTTCTGGAAGAAAAGGATGAGCCGGAATAGAGGCCCTCATGCCTCTGCTACCCATCAAGTGAGACAAAACAGAAATTTCTATGGAGCTCAGAGAGTGAAGAGCATCTCAGCCATGGGGGCACATTTTCCCAGTCCAGCACTGCTGACACAGGGGTCCCCTCATTTCAGAGGGACTCTTGATCATTAAACCTTAGGATGACTTACTTCTTGAGTTTCCGTTGCACTAATTTCATGGCTTGCCCTTTAGCAACTCGCACATCTATAACTCGGCCTCATCAGAATGCCATGAGGGTAAGCTCGGAAGAAATTCCACGAGTGGCGATTCTACATCAGTCTTGGTTGATCAGAATACATTATTTGCCAGCCAGTACTCCTCCCATACCAGAAGGTGAATTCAAAAGGTTTGAATAACTCCAATTTCTTATACTTACTTGGACAGAATACTAACCGGCTATCCAAGAGTAGACAAGGATCTATTTGTACAGCTGTTGTTCAGAGCTTTATAAACACTTGAGCCAATGGAGATTTCCTCTTAGCACAAATCAGTGGGGAAAAAATGGGCCTAAAGATAGGGCAGGATGGGGTGAGAAGCAGAAAGTGGTGGAGACTGCGACACTCTCTTGCTCCTCCCACATTCCATGAGAGAACAGTCGAATACTTTGCCCTTGCCGTGAATGCACAGGGACTGGTAAATACCCTTAGTGGACTCTTTTCATGGTAACTCACAAAGTGACCATACAGTTTTGACCCCATCCTGTATCTAAAGTTTCCCCAAACATATCAACCCTGGCAATTTTAAGGATAGGCGCAGAGCATCAAGACAGCATCTGAATTAGTCCTTTGCCAACAGACTCCTTTATTTTGGTCCCATGATTTGCACCTAGACAGCCGTACCTGCAAGGGTGTAGAATATGCTGGTGAGCACATCACTCACCTTTGCTGATGTCTTCATATTCCAGCCAGAGTCGCCGCTGCACCTGCTTGTTTGGGTACCAGATGGAACAGGACTCCTCAAAGCCGTAGATAGCTTCCTGGATGTAGTGGTTGCCAAACTGGTCCAACAGGGCCACAAAATCCCCACGAGACGTAGCTCCATCCAGGGAGTGGAGCGCATTGCTGAGGGCTACAGAGAAACATCACCCAAAAGTAAGAGTGAGGTCTCACAGGGTGGGGAGCATCTGGATTCCCAGGCCACTCAGCCTCAAAAGCGGAAGTACCTCTGTGGCCCAAAGTGATGCTGGAGAGCTGGCTGAAGTATCAGGTGAACTTCTCCAGTTAGCTACGTCAGACACTTTAGTCCCTTAAATGAGTATTTTTTCAAGGCAGTTGGTTATGCTGTTAGCTTCATGCAGGCATTACATTGCCAAATCTAACGCCCCGCTTCAGTCAATCTTGGGTTTTCTTTTTCAAATCACAAGTCATGACATCAAATTAATTTAGTGAGCTCAAATAATAGCATTAAAAAAAAAAAAAAAAGAATAGCATAGTCTAAAATAGAAACACAAATACCAGCGAAGAACATTTCACATCGTAAGATGATGTACTGTTTCATGAAACTTCTCTTGTGCGCATGTGGGGGTGTGCATATGCACAAGGTCGCAGTGTAAAAAAATGTCTTCTAACTGTGGGTAATGACCAAAAGAGTTTCTGGAGACAGAATATTGCCTTCAGACACAGACACTGGTAATGGGAAGATAATGGAAGAAGAGGAGTAAGGAAAGTCCCTAATACACTATTCATATTTATTTCAGAAAATCAAAAGTGTACAAACAGGGAAATAGCAAATGGAGGAAAGGATCTGTTCC